TTGAAAAAACAGACACATGTCCACCTAGTTCAACCATTAAAAGGAAAAAAAGAAAAATACAATCCTATATACACAATCCTATACCCACAGTTGATCCTGAGGAAGGCAAAAAATCCAATAAAGCACGATCCAATTTGCTCCTGCATGGGGAAAAAATTCCTTCCTGATCCCCCGAGAGGCAATTCCCTGGATCAACTTTACCTATAAATGTTAGTATCCAGTTATATTGTGTACATTTAGGAAAGAATCCAGGCCTTTTATAAAAAAAAAAAAATCTACTGAGCTGGCCACAACCAGCTATTCAGGGAGTCTATTCCACATTTTCACAGCTCTTATTGTGAAGAAGCCTTTCCATATTTGGAGATGAAATCTATGCACTACGTATGTATTTGTACAGGTCAGCAGGGACCATCTGATGTAGATGGGAGGCTGTACAGATGTAGATCAGTATTGGTATTGGTATAGCCCTGTTGGACTTTTGCTGCTTGATCAGCACTGCCAGCTATAGCCTGCAATGCAGAGCAGTATATTTTGACAGCAGGGAAGTCTACCTGCTGTCAGAATACAATAGCTCAGCAGGGAGAATTCCAGCATCCACATTGGGTGTGTGGGTATGAAATTGAGTTAGACCCGTCTATGGCCAGCTTTAGTTAAGTCCATCTAATTCTGCTAGTTTAGCACTAACCTCTCCCCAGGCTGCCCAAAGGTGTCTCTGTTGCTCCTACATTCAGTGTGGAGACACCCTAAGGCTAGGTTCACTCTGGTCAATCCTCTGAAAAATTGTCATACACTCAGGAGTTGATCCTGATGCCTCTTGAAGACTGTTTTTTTTTTTGTCAAAAGGCAATTTACAATGAGACTATTGTACCACAACCAAAAGCCAGTTACTTGGATTGCGGTTGTGGTGGAACCCCCATTGACTTCAATTGTTGTGCTTGACAGCTGGTGCTGCCTGTCAAACTGACATGACGCATTAAATTTGCTGTGGCTGCAATGCAAAACATCACAGTATGTAAAAAGCCCAATCCAGCTGTATTGTGGACTTTATGTGGGTGATTGGCAAAACTGCAGCTCAACTGCTTGTTTTTGCTGCCCCCCCCCCCAAGGCTGTGTGAAAGAGGCCTAAAACAAGAAATGTGTTACTGGCCAGGTCACCAGGTGAACATAAAGAAAAAAGATTTGTGGGTAGGTGCAGCGAAGTATTTACACAGAGTCTGGTTGCAGGAACAAGAACTCCTCAGTGGGAGAGCGCCATGCCAGAGAAACACTCATAGTTCAGTGTAACTTGAGAACACAGCAGGTGCAGATGCACCGACAGTGTCTGTCTCAGGTGGCAGAATGTGGCCTGGCTGGTCCGGTCCCAATAGAGAGGCTTCTGAAGTAGGATGGCATGTTCCTAGCCTGTCCCTCCTCATCAGGAACCTATATCTACCTCTATTACTTTTCCCGACAGACAGGTCCTCTTTCCCTCTCCTATCCACTTTGCAAAATACACTCCAAAACCTGGGGGCAGGGACTTAAAAATAACTCCGCTGACTAGGGCTCACCTAAATACAGCGCAGCCAATCGAAACACTGCTTCAGGGGTCCTGGAAACCATAGAGAAACCAGGTTTCTCCTAACTTCCTATGGTTGAGCGCCACCTACAGTGGAGAAAGCAGACTGCACCTGCCTACAGATTAATAAAAAAAGAATACAAATGCAGCCACTACCTTTAGGGATTGGTAAACTGCAGTATATTACATTTTTGGTTTTGGGGATTAATACTAGTTTAATGTGAGTCCATTAGCTCAAACCTAGGTTCAGAGAGCAGGTTCTGGGTCCAGGAATAGCAGCTGGCAGCATATGGAGTAAAAGCAAGGCCAAAGTCTTTGACCACAAGGATATGACTAGATCCAGTGTCCTCGTTGTAGCATTTCATATTCAATGCCAAGAGATGTGTACAATAGTGAATCTGTCTAGAAATACAGTAATGAAGGCAGTGATAGAGGAAACATGATTTTCCTTTGATTTATGTGTCCTGTCTTCTGCATTTCTCTAAGGCACAATCCTGAGCTGTCAATAGTTCTATCCTGTAACACTTGCTGACAGGACAGGAAGAAAAGCTTCAGTTCTTGGTATGTAAGTTGAGCAGAGTGCCTTTATCATCCATTGTTCCACAACATTACATGACAAGGGCAAGGGAGGCAGCAGTCAATGGAATGAAATGCAATACCAAAGAAATAAACATATGCATCTAATCCTCTCTTTTGTAGGCCACAATCTGAAAAGATTACCAATGTGCTGTGTTAAATAACATATTGCCATGTTCCTAGAAACTGTTAAATCATATTTATGTAATCTTCCTTTCTGAAAAGCAGATTATATATTACGGTTTATATTTGGCTGTGTGAACAATGTTCATACACATATACAATGTAGCCAGGCTGTCGGTTAACCCTTTAGTTGAATGTGTCAGGAGAAAGGTAGTGGCTGCTGTCCATGGTGCTGAACCCTCTCTCATAAGGTTTGGCTGGACAGTGCACACCTGGATAAATGATGTACTAGAAGTCTGGATTAAACAGATCTCTCACAGGATCTCATTGTTAAATGTATAAATGACAATGAAGGTTTGTATAGATGGGTGTTGCTGTGAAATGCTGCCTTTTTTCCTTCTATTCTAGAGATGCTACTCCAATCCATAAATTCAAACTCAAAATCACAGCCAAACGCTGTGTTTGATCTGTTTTTCCAGAAATGAAAATACATTTTACTAGTACCTGCTGCATCCAAAGAAATATAATGTAAAAATAAACAGGTCAAACACAGCCTCAGAATAGTCATCTACAATTGAAGTAAGAGGGAATCTGCTGACCTGCGTTTGGTGTGTGTCTCAAATGCAGGAAAACAACATCCATTCATATGAGCCCTAAAGCATTATAAATTATTAAAATAACCAATGTATTTATATAGCACTGACATATGAACATATCAATGTTTTACACCATACATGAAACCTTTTTCATCAGTGCCTGTCCAGCAGAAGCTTACAATCTAATGTCACATGACACTAACAAACACAAATGGGTTAAGCAAATTACCAGTAGCAGGGACTTTGGGAGAGAACTTCAGCAGCCTAGGATATGTAAACACAAATGTTCTGGTATATTTTTAGGGTTATAATAGGATATAGAAAAATCAGAATGAAAAAGGGAATATTTTATACTCTGCATATCAAAGCAGAACTTCACTCTCTCAATCATCATCGACTATTTTGAATCCTTTTGCTACTAGCATTAGTGGCTAAATGGTTAGCACATCTGCTTGGCAGTACTAGGGTTGTTGGTCAAATCCCAACCACGGCGTCACCTGTCTGGAGTTTGCATGTTCTCCCTGTGCCTGCGTGGGTTCCTCTGGGTACTCCGGTTTCCTCCCACACTCCAAAGACATGCTGGCAGGTTATTTGGCTCCTGTCTAAATTGGCCCTAGTATGTGTATGTATGAATGTGAGTAAGAGACCTTAGATTGTACACCCCTTGAGGGTTAGGGACTGATGTGAATGTACTATATATATATGTAAAACGCTGCATAAATATATAAGTGCCTGTAATAATAGTAAATAGATAGTTTATTATATTTAGTTGTTTTAAACTGTTTTCATTTCTTTAGTTACTTCCTAGTTTCAGTGCCTAATGATGTCATACATCCCAGTAGTCTTTAGGAGGGGAGGAGGGGTTTTCTCAGCTAAGCACACCCTCCTGCCTGCATGCCTGAGCTAAGGGCAGATGGATTCCAGAAAGTAGATGCAACATGAATCATCTGCCCTTACCCACTGCCAGAAATGCTAGGTGGTGTTTTTTCAAGCGATTTCTCAGCAAAATAAAGCATGGAGACATGGATGGATGGGTGAGTTTGCTTGGAATAAAAATAAATTAAATAACGCTTTTGGTTTGTGGTGCTCAGATACAGTATAGTTCCGCTTTAACCTGATTCTAGGCTTCATTTTAAAAGTTGCATTAGAAAAATGATAGCATGAAAGTTACCATGGGTCAGCCACTCAATTTATTCATCTCTAGTATAAGACTGGATGAAGTCTTCACCTTCTTTCAGATTTTTATAAAATAATCTTTATTTCCCAGAACTTTTGTACTATAAGAGACAAGTAACTGGTAAACCAAGGGAACTGCCAGGAAAAACAACTCACTCAAAAACAGGCAGGAGACAAGACAAGACAAGACAAGACAAAGGGGCAGGAGCAACAGAAGTTACCTAAGTTACCTAAACGTTACCTAAAAGTAACGCCCACAAATCAGGCTCTTAGCAGGGGAAAAGCTGATGGGCAGTAATACAAGAGGAACAGAGTGGATTTACTGAACAATCATACTGTGTTTTTTACAGTCAGACCAAGGTATTTCTATATTAATCAATAAACCTGCAGTTAAGATTTATTCACTCAGGACACTTTTTCTTTAAACCAAGCACATTATGAAAAAATGCTGGGGACACTGCTTAGTGAAAATCTAAACATTCAGTAGAGCCAAAGCTTGGCCCTACCTCCTTTTAGACCTCCTTTTTGCTCCCTTAATGATATAGCCAGCTTCACTGACCAATAGAGAGCCTAAAAAAAGGGACTGGGGATCAAACTAAAATTTTATGGAAATGGTCAAGATTTGCAACTTATGTGCCATAATTACTTTATTTCTATATCTTTAGCTCTCTGGTGTTGTGTCTCCTCCTACTATGTCTTTGTGACTGGCAAAGCAGGGATAGCAAGAGGAGATACAACATTGGAACAGGTATCAGGAGCTGTACTATGCGGGGAGTTATGTGGAGCCAGTTCCATACATATCCTGCAGCAACACTAGCTAAAAAGCCACAATACAGTATATATAAAGGTTTAACAGAAATGGCAAGCTTATGAATATAATGGTGCCTGAAGTTAGGCTTTAACTGTCATCTCCAACCGGGTAATTGGCTAATTCTAATTGGAGACATATATATAACATTTGCTGTCATACTTACGGCTTGGTCCATGAATCTTGATTGGCTTGTCAGAAACTAAAGACTGGGAACAGTTCTGGCAAATACAGTCTTTGCCTCTGAATGTTACTTTGTCTCCAATTGGAAATGGTTTTCTGAGAGGAAGAAAGGAAAAAAAGAAAGTTCATAAAAAAAAAAGAAAGAAAGAAAAATACCGTATGCATACAAATATGTTTCAAGGAAACTTGTGTTCACGGAAACATGGGGTTTGCCACTGCTGAATTCACCATCTAAAAATGCTATTTGTTCTACTGACTTAAGGACTTTAGTACTTTAGAACTTTTTGAGCTCATGAAAATGTCTGACTTCACTCTGTATTGTAATCAGAGGACCAATGTGGCTGCCAGGCACCTAGCAGTTTCATAAGTCGGTCAGCCTTGAAAAAGTATTCATAACCCTTGAAATTTTCCACATTTTGTCATGGTACAACCAAAAACGTATTTTATTAGGATTTTATGTGAAAGACCAACACAAGGTGGCACATAATTGTGAAGTGGAAGGAAAATGTTAAATGGTTTTCAAAATCTTTTACAAAACAATATCTGAAAAGTGTGGCGTGCATTTGTATTCAGCCTCCCTTTACTCTGATACCCTTACTAAAATCTAGTGGAACCAATTGCCTTCAGAAGTCACCTAATTAGTAAATAGAGTCCACCTGTGTGTAATTTAATCTCAGTATACAGTTGTTCTGTAAAGCCCTCAGGTTTGCTAGTGAACATTAGTGAACAAATCGCATCGTGAAGGCCAAGGAACACACCAGACAGGTCAGGGATAAAGTTGTGGAAAAGTTTAAAGCAGGGTTAGGTTATGAAAAAATATTCCAAGCTTTGAACATCTCACAGAGCACTGTTCAATCCATCATCTGAAAATGGAAAGAGTATGGCACAACTGAAAACCTACCAAGACATGGCCGTCTATCTAAACTGACTGGCTGGGCAAGGAGAGCATTGATCAGAGAAGCAGCCAAGAGGCCCATGGTAACTCTCGAAGAGCTGCAGAGATCCACATCTCAGGCAGGAGAATCTGTCCACAGGACAGCTATTAGTCTTGCACTCCACAAATCTGGTCTTTATGGAAGAGTGGCAAGAAGAAGAAAGCCATTGTTGAAAGAAACCCATAAGAAGTCCCATTTGCAGTTTGTGAGAAGCCATGTGGGGGGTACAGCCCACATGGAAGAAGGTCAGATGAGATCAAAATGTAACTTTTTGGTCTAAAAGCAAAACGCTATGTGTGGCGGAAAACTAACACTGCACATCACCCTGAACACACCATACCCACCATGAAACATGGCGGTGACAGCATCATGTTGTGGGGATGCTTTTCTCTAGCAGGGACAGGAAAGCTGGTCAGAGTTGATGGGAAGATGGATGGAGCCAAATACAGAGCAATCTTAGAAGGAAATCTGTTAGAGTCTGTAAAAGACTTGCGGTTGGGGTGGAGGTTCACCTTAAAGCAGGACAACGACCCTAAACATACAGCCAGAGCTAAAATGGAATGGTTTACATCAAAACATATTCATGTGTTAGAATGGCCCAGTCAAAGTCCAGACCTAAATCCAATGGAGAATCTGTGGCAAGACTTGAAAATTGCTGTTCAAAGACACTCTCCATCCAATCTGACAGAGATTGAGCTAGTTTGCAAGGAAGAATGGGCAAAAATGTCACTCTCTAGATGTGCAAAGCTGGTAGAGACATACCCAAAAAGATGTAAGATGTAATTGCAGTGAAAGGTGGTTCTAAAAAGTATTGACTCGGGGGGGCTGAATACAAATGCACGCCACACTTTTCAGATATTTATTTGTAAAAAATGCTGAAAAACCATTTATCATTTTCCTTCCACTTCACAATTATGTGCCACTTTATGTTGGTCTATCACATAAAATCCCAATAAAATACATTTATGTTTTTGGTTGTAATGTGACAAAATTTGGAAAATTTCAAGGGTATGAATACTTTTTCAAGGCACTTTATCTTTCAGGAAGGGCTTCCCTTCAGTATTAACTTAAACATTTCACATTGCAGCACCTCTTGACTACATACAGTTGTGTTCAAAATAATAGCAGTCAGACATCACTAACCTGATCAATCACTGTTTTTGGTAGAAATGATATTTCTACATGGCAAATAATTTACTAGCAGGTGTAGTAGAGTAATAGAAATCCAACAGACCCAACAGTCATGACATGCATGCTGCTGATTCTGTGTAATTGAATCACTAATTGAAAGGGGCATGTTCAAAATAATAGCAGTGTGGAGTTCTATTAGTGAGGTCATTCATTCTCTGAAAAACAAGTGGCAATTCTTGCCCTTATTTAAGGAAGGAAGGCAGCAAATGTTGTACATGCTGGTTACAGTGTATTTCTCTCTGAAATTCTGAGGAAAATGGGTCGTTCCAGACATTGTTCAGAAGAACAGCGTACCTTGATTAAAAAGTTGATTGGAGAGGGGAAAACATATAAAGAAGTGCAGAAAATGATAGGCTGCTCAGCTAAAATGATTGCAAATGCCTTAAAATGGCAACCAAAACCTGAAAGACGTGGAAGAAAGTGAAAAACTACCATTCGAATGGATAGAAGAATAGCCAAAATGGCAAGGACTCCGCCAACAATCAGCTCCAGGAAGATCAAAGAAGGTCTAAAGTTCCCTGTGAGTACTGTTACAATTAGAAGATGGCTATGTGAAGCCAAGCTATCTGCAAGAAGCCCCCGCAAAGTCCCACTGTTGAAAAAAAGACACGTGCTGAAGAGGTTACAATTTGCCAAAGAGCACATTGACTGGCCTAAAGAGAAATGGCGCAACATTTTGTGGACTGATGAAAGTAAGATTGTTCTTTTTGGGTCTAGTGGCTGGAGACAGTTTGTCAGACGACCCCCAAACACTGAATTCAAGCCACAGTACACTGTGAAGACAGTGAAGCATGGTTGTGCAAGCATCATGATATGGGGATGTTTCTCATACTAGAGTGTTGGGCCTATTTATCGCATACCAGGGATCATGGATCAGTTTGAATACATCAGAATACTTGAAGAGGTCATGCTGCCTTATGCTGAAGAGGAAATGCCCTTGAAATGGGTGTTCCAACAAGACAACAACCCAAAACACACCGGTAAACGTGCAACATCTTGGTTCCAGACCAACAAGATTGACGTTTTGGAGTGGCCAGCCCAATGCCCGAATCTTAATCCAATAGAAAACTTGTGGGGTGACATCAAAAATGCAGTTTCTGAGGCAAAACCAAGAAATAGAGAAGAACTGTGGAATGTAGTCCAATCATCCTGGGCTGGAATACCTGTTCACAGGTGCCAGGAGTTGGTTGACTCCATGCAACACAGATGTACAGCAGTTCTCAGAAACAGTGCTTATACAACTAAATATTAATTGATTCAAAGGAAAACAAAATCTTCAAACATTTTTCAGTTTATATAGTGAATGTTTGAGTTTGTAAAGAAGAATATAAACACTGCTATTTTTTTGAACAGTCTAATATTCAATCTTCAATTTTTTTTAGAGGAACAACACAAATTTGATATATTTTTCTTCATGTTTTGATTTGGAATAGAATGTGTAGTGTTCCCAATGCATTTGTGTGCATGGAAATAAAAGCTATTAGAAGGATTTTGAGCTTTATTCACTTTTTTCAACACACTGCTATTATTTTGAACACAACTGTATATACCTAGGGCTTTCAGAGACATGAACGATCTGCTTTCTAGGGTGAGCATTGAGCTGAACGAACAAATTAACATCACTACTTAATAGAAGTCAGGGAGAAAAGAGAAGTCCAAGACTGAACAGATCACAGAATGTGCTTGTTTTTAACTACACAATATGATACCAAAATCAGGTCACTAAAGTGGTAATTATAGGTTTGGCAATTGTATATAATATTGTGTTATGTAGGCAGTATAGATGCATGCCTAGCCATCTTGATTTATTATGCATGGAATCTCAAACATTAAAGCAGGAGCAAGCCCAAATCAGCATTAGGTCTGACACTATACACCGCGATGTAGCAATCTCTTTTTACTGATGTATGGGGCTGAACAATTTCGCCTTACCTAAATCGCTTTACCTATGTGACAATGATGTGTACTAATGATGGACAAGAGGTGGGTGTCATTTAACCAGCTCTAGTTCAGTTCCTCCAGGGTGTCTGAAGCTGCCCAGGGGGTCTGGACAGCTGAGTAGTGTTTACTGGGGTTTGATTTCTTCCTTGGGAGTACAGTGTATGCACAGCTGTTGTGCAGAACAACTTAAAATAGAAAGAGTACAGCTGCATTCCCAGCCTCACCCCATTCTGTCTTTCAGCACTTGCTGCGATCGAGTCATGTGAAAATCATTTTGTTAACTGCTTAGCTACATTATATGGGCTACCTGTACAACATGCAATGCCAGGCAATTGCTTGGCAAGGACGTGTGTCATACAACACATCTCCAATGACCTTATAAAATTCAGCCCATTTTCTGGGAAGATCTATACACAATGCTTATCAGTTTAGGGTCATGGATATCTACAATCCTATGACCTCATTTACAAACTTCTACTGATGCCAACACCGGCATGCATTTAGAGAGGCAGCTGCCAGCTACTTCATTCACTAAGTATAAATTGATCCATGGCAATCTCTCCACTGATCATATTATATGCTGCCTAATCTTGTACTAAAGATTCCAGGCTACAATGCTACTAGTGGTGATAGCTGACAGATTCCGACTTATATTCCTCTTCTACAAGACATTCACATGGCAAAACTTTGTCAATCCTCCTGCGGGGCACATCACCATTTTATACCCTAATTGGAAAGCTTTTTTTTGCTTTCTATACATAGGCTGATCATTAGGAGCATAAGGAGGTCCTCAAAAGACCTTGAGTATTGGACAACTGTCAAACATGACACAACACACTTAAACTGCTGTCTCAGGTGGCCACAATTTCTGGCACAAAAGTAACTAAAGCCATTTCCAGCAATAGGCCACATTCAAAAGAAAAATACAGCAACTCATCCATATATATTCTCCAAAGTATCCATGTATTATTGTTTGCAATATGACATAGAAAAAGGTAGTGTTGAAGAAATTCATATACCAGCCAATTACTATGTAGATTTCTCTATTGTAGACCTACCTAGTCTGTGTAAGGGACCTGTCCCTCATAGAAAAAAGATACTTATTCATCAAGATAGCGGGATAAAATGTCCAGCTGTATAGTTAGAATGGCGTTATCTGCTATTTTATGTGGTTATTATATGGCTAGTTTACTTCCCGCTATAGGATCCTAAGTGCAATCAGATTGGCCCAAATACTTTAGACATCATTTTTAGTCCTCACGCACACTGGACGTTTTTTACAGCGGCTGTTTTTGGCTTTTGACTTTTTTTCTACAGCCAGTAAACCCCCCAGCATGTTATCCTATGTGTCCATGCTCACATAGACTGTAATCGACGTTTTTTAGCAGGGATGTTTTTTGTCTGGGGAAAAAAAACAGGACTAGTGGGTTTTTAGAGGAGTTTTTAAGCTGTAAAAATGCTCTAATGCAGAAAAAACGCGGCAAAACGTGGTACAGCGTGGTAAATCAAGGCAAACCAGCATTTTTGGACTTTTTTTTATTAAAATTTTTTAAATATTTTTTTTGGTAAAAAAAAAAACTAAAAAACGCAATCGCGAAAAAACAAAAGCAAAATGCAGCAAAACGCTGAAAAAAGTTTTTAACATGACTTTACACAGCTAACGTTCCCAGTGTTATTAAAATGCCCCGTGAGCATGGAGCCTTAGCAGGCTGTTGCTTGGGGTAAGTCTGGTGGCCCTAAACACAGCATAAGGTTGCCACAGGCTATTCGCCCCTCATTTATTAAACCCCAAAACAAAATTGTAATACATTGCAGCTTACTGGTTTAGATGTGATGCCTCCATTACTTTTCTTTTTTTTTTAATTTTACTCTTTTTTCACCTGGTAATCCTGCGATTAACACACTTTACTATTCTAGGGTGACTGTATTGTCTAGGGTGACTGTACTGTACTGCAGGGTTGTCACCCTGGGCTTGTTACTCTTGATTTGGACTACAGAATACCTCCTCATCTTCATAATATAAAAGGAGGTTTTCTGTAGTTTATAGTGGTAACTTGGGAATGGCTGATAATACCCCTGGGAATTTCAGTGTGGAGGCAATGGAGTTATTTTGCTATCGGCAAATAGGTTGTTCACTTTGCAAGGGAAGTTGCACTTTACAAGGGAATTTTCCCCAGAGCTTAGTGACTGAGGTGAAGTTCTACTGATTCCCATTATCCAATCATGTTCAAGCAATAATTCTGTATTTTTTATTTTCCTCACACATGATTGAATATTCTTTGCAAAGTGAAACTTCACCACATTCATTAAGCTCTGCAGCAAATTTCCTAAGAAAGTGCAACTTCCCTTTGCATAGTGAACATCTTATCTGCTTTTAGTAAATCAACCCAAATGTGTTAACAGCACTTTACAGGACTTTACAAGTTGACTGGATTTATGGCAGAACAAACAGGTACTTTTTTTGCACTTACTGATCAGATATAACACATTTCTGTCAATGGTATGGTAACAGACCAGAAGGGAGAAAATAATGAAAGTTCATTGTTAGGGTTTATAAACACTTTAAGTTATCCTAGAATGCAAATACAACTAGAATCTTATTTGAGATAATTCATTGGCATTCTATCTCATCTAACTGCTTCCCCGCCGCCCTACAGCAGAACTACTGCTACAGGGCAGCAGGGCTGTGCAAAATCATGTGTATATATATATATATATATATATACAGTATATATGTGATTTTGCATTTTTGGGTAGGGGTTGCGCGTGTGCTGCCCTACCCACGCAACCATTGGTGGCTACAGCTGTCGATCACCGGGTCCTAGCCGGAGAGTCCCCGCTGGCACCCAGCGATCACCAAGGAATAGTGAAAGGGGTGAGGTCTGTGCGTAAACAACACAGATCTCTCCCCTTTCAGCATGAACACAGCAGAGCAATACAAAGCAGCTTGTCTCCCTAGTAAAACACACACAGCACATAATGTAAAACACAAACACAGCACACAGTTAACCCTTTGATCGCCCAGATGTTAACCCCTTCATGCCCAGTGTCATTAGTACAGTGTCGGTGCTTTTTATTAGCATTGATCATTGTATTAGTGTCACTGGGATGTTAATGCAGTTAGTCAGTCCCCCCCACCCCACAGTGTCAGAATGCCCACCGCAGTTCCGCAATAAGTCGCTGATCACCACCATTACTAGTATATAAAAAAAAATGTTTTTTAAATTACAGTACATATACCGCCATTTGTAGATGCTATAACTTTCACACAAACCAATTAATTTACATGCATTGGGATTTTGTTTAGCAAAGACATGCAGCAGAATACATTTTGGCCTACATTTATGACGAAATCTGATTTTTAAAATTTTTTTTACTGGATACGTTTTATAGCAAAAAGTCAAAAAAATATATATTTTTTTCAAAATTGTCGGTCTTTTTTTGTTTATTATAGCGCAAAAAATAAAAAACACAGAGGCGATCAATTACCACCAAAAGAAAGCTCTATTTGTAGGGCAAAAAGGAAAAAATATTTCATTTGGGTGAAGCGTTGCATGACCGCCCAATTGTCAGTTAAAGTAACACAGCGCTGTATAGCAAAAAAATGGCCTGGTCAGGAAGGGGGGTAAATCCTCTGGAGGGCAAGTGGTTAATCCTGTCTCAAGCGCTATTTAGCATGCCTTAAGTGCCGCTGCAACCAGGGCTTTAATAGGTTGGCAGTAAAGGAGAGAAGTTGGAGGCATGACAACTCTCTATTACTATGAATTGAGATTTTGCTAAAACCTGAAAGTGCTTGTACCTGCATTTGCTTATATGAGCGTATCAAAGCAGAATTGTCAGTTGGCACAGTTTGCGCATACTAGAATGCATCTATACAAGTCAATCAGCAAAATCAATTCACCTTTTAGATTTGCTGATCTGCTGAGGTGCTGACATATTAAGTTTTATTTATCTTCAGGGCCCTCTTAACACTTAATAAATTCACACGTCCTGCTCTGGCCTCTACAGTTTTACAGGATATAGTTTAATAGCCTGCGAATATATTATATTATTGGTCCTACAAACCTCCCATATGTATCAGAGCACACACAACTATTAGCTTTACCTGCACATGCTGCACACAAAACATTTTGGATGATATGTCCGTCCGAGAGCTGAAATAACTTCCCCTGTTATAAAATCTCGACAGCTATCACATCGGGTTCCATAGAGCTGCTGGTAATCTCGTGTGCAAATATACTCTCCATTCTTGAAGAAGAAGCCGGACTTGGCCAGGTCACAGCCACAAACTGTAGTAAAGAAAGAAGAGGCAGATTACAGTTCATGAAACATGTAAGTCTACATGAAAATGTGACCCAGATATCGAACAAGCCATTTCAATACTGTCATCAAATCAGTCCAATAAACACAACTGGATATTTTCCTCAGACTATAACTGATCAATACAACTAGCAATAATTTACATTCTCCCCAAATCATAATTTACTTCCAGGAAATGATTTATCTGCGTCTTTAGCATACATGAAAAATGCATGATTTATTGATTATGCTGGCTAGACTAATGCAATAGTACCATTACAATCAAAACAGTGAACTGCTGATTGATGTCAGTGCCCAAGTAGAGGTTTATAGGGGAAGGAACCTGTTCATTATTACTGAATAATGACAATGGAACATATTGAAAATATGTAGTTAGTTACAAATGCTTAAAATGACCACATAAAATAATGTTGAAATACATTATCTCTCTCTGCCAATCCCTTCACGGGCTTCCATTAACCCGATGTATAAAATTCAATATACTAAACCACTAACCATTATCCAACAGTTTTATGACTATCACCTCAAGCATGACTCCCTCTGTGTGAGTGTTGTCTCCCCCCCCCCCTTTGCTTTTGCTGTGTCTTATCTCTAGCCTCTTTTTGTTCTTTTTTTTTGTTTTTGCTTTTTTTTCATCTCTTCTACCATTCTGCTAAAACTTTGTGTGTATTACTGCTTAGACCTTGAAGAAGGGGACACTCCCCGAAAGCTTGTCTTTAAAATTGTATGTTAGTGCAAATAAAAAAGTATCACAGACAGTACTCAATTGTTTCTAACCACAACATACAAAGCCATCCACAACACTACTCCTAGCTACATCACCAACCTCATCTGCAGACATCATCCAAATTGCCCGCTCCACTCCTCCCAAGACATCTTGCTCTAGCTCCCTCATCACCTTCTCCCATGGTCGCTTCCAGGACTTCTCCAGAGCCTCTCCCATTTTCTGGAACTCCCTAGCCCCATTATGTCCGGTCAGCCCCCACCCTGTCTGCCTTTAGGCGATCTTTGAAAACTCACTTATTCATGGAAGTCTACGCCACCTCCACCTAAGAACTGTACTTCAGTCACCTCCATCAGATCATCTTCTGCAGCTTTTACCTTTTGTACCACCTACCCAGGGGCGGACTGACAACTCATAGGGCCCCCGGGCAATAGGGGAACATGGGGCCCCTGTGTCCTTCCCCAAACTCAAAAAAGACTATGAAAAAGGTACCAGGGGCATCTCATGGGGCCCCCTACTGACCCCGAGTCCTTGGGCAGTGCCCGAGTTTCCAAATGGTCAGTCCGCCCCTGCACCTACCCCTCCCTTTAGATTGTAAGCTCCACAAGCAGGGCCCTCCTATTCCTTTTGTACTGAAATGTATTGTAATTGTACTGTCTCCCTTTTATATTGTAAAGCGGTGCTGTGCATACTGTTGGCGCTATATAAATCCTGTATAATAATAATAATAATCTGGGGTATTGGATTCATTTGATTGGAATTTTCTGAAGTCATGTTTTTTCAAAAGTACTAATTTGTAATGTTTATATTGTTAAGATTATTAGGCCTCATGCACACTGGGTGTTTTTTACTCTGAGGTGTCTTGTGTTTTTTTTCTGCTTCTAAACACCCCTCAAGGTTAACCTATGTGTCCATGCGCACATAGGTGTTTACAGGCATTTAGAGGCAGTAAAAAACAAACCCTTTCCAGCGCGTTCAGGAGCAGCAGCGTTTGGCAGAAAAAACGCATGTGTCGCCGCCTAAATATATGTAAATGTTTTTAAGCCCTCAAATGCCTGGGGTTCATTCATTTCAGTGGCCAGAATTAATATATAGGCCTATGAAATGAATAAACACCCAAGAGCTTAAATGAGCCTAAACATGTTGGCAAAAACACAGCTTTAGGCGAGTATTTGATGATACTTTTCTCCAGCCAGGAGAAAGGCATTTAGAAGAGCTGGGCAAATGCCCAGCATGCATGAGGCCTTAAGAAGTAAGTACATGCCATGTTTTAATACTCATTTATTGTTGATATGTGAGAGATAACATGGATGCCCATGATTAAGCTTCGGGGCAGAATGAAACGCGTTGGAGACGTGGTCTGGCTGGAGACCGGGCTGAGGCTATTAGACTTTCTTTCCTTGGGGGTTTGAAAAGATGAGTGGCTTATATGGACATTTTCTTCCCTGTACATCCCTGTAAGATCATAATTAAATCCACAGGGCATATCTACCACTTCCTACAACACTTCCCCATTCCAAAACCTGCTGTCTTTATACCTTGGGCTATGCAAAAGAGCCACCAAGACAGCCCCTTGTACAGTCACCAATATAAACAATGGCGGAGATTTACTAAAACTGCAAAGTGCAAAGTCTGGTACAGCTCTGCATAGACACCAATCAGCTTCCACGTTTTGTTGACAAAGCTTAGGTAAACAAGCTGAAGTTTAGTTAGAAGCTGATTGGTTACTATGCACAGCTACACCAAATTCTGAAAGCACCAGTTTCAGCAAAATTCTCCCACTGTAACCATTTGTTGGCATTACAATTGGCTGCAACTGTTATGGGCAGTTGATAACCTTGTCCAGTCAGTTTATATTCTGCAAAAAGTGCAAAAACTAATATACTACAATGATAACTTATTTATCCTCATCTCTCATTACCATTTTTTTCTGTCTTTTATTTTTTTGTACACAAACACATTTTCATGTTGATTTTATTTGAATTAATTGCTGTATCATTGTAATAAACATTACATTTTGTTTTAAAATTTAATTTAATCACTTTACCTTGCTCTCTGCTTTTTTCTCTTTTTGCCTTTAAAATATATAAAATCTTCCATTTTTGAAACACATTAAGGGTTCGTTCACACTTGACTGTTTTTCCAACTCTTGCCAAACGCCCCTATAGTGTTTGACAAGCGTTGGTCCGGCGTTTGCGGAGCATTTAACGCTCCACAAATGCCGCATGCGCGGTTTAGCGGAAGTTGCTAGGCATTTCCCAAGCGTTAAAAACACCCCACAAACGCCTATAATGAAGTTTGAATGGTGTTACCGCTCCGCAAACGCCTCGCAACCGTGTCGCCGGCTGGGGCATTTGCGGAGCAGCACCATAGACTTGAATAGGAGGCTTCAACTCCTCCTGACTCGACCAGAGGCGTCCGTTGCGACGCAACTAAACGACACTAATGCTCCCGTTTGAACAGCACTATGTGCTGCATGTGCAGAATTTTCCCAGGCGTTTGGGAAACGGTAAAAACGTTTCCCAAACACCTGTCTGCTGCTTGCTAACAAGTCTAGTGTGAACGTAGCCTAACACCTAAAAAAGGCATTGTCTGCCTCCCCACTAGAGATGAGAAAAATATGTATTATTTCAGTTTAATTCTCTGTGGGCCCCTAAGAGCAATATGAAAATTGATATGGCCCATATGCAGTAAACAACTATATGATTAAAATGGTTTACAGTGTACTCTGTGTGCACAATTATTAGGCAAGTGAGTATTTTTACCATATCATCATTTTTATACATATTGTCCAACTCCAGGCTGTATAAACTTGAATGCTTATTGGATATAAGCATATCAGGTGATGTGTAATTGCTTAACGAAGGAGGGTATGGCCTAAGGAAATCAACAAAATTATTAGGCAGCTTCTTTTTCCTCAGACAAAATGAGCCAAAGAAGAGATTTAACTGACTCTGGAAAGTCAAAAATTTTAAAAGGTCTTTCAGATGGATGCAGCACTCTTGAAATTGCTAAGATATTGGGGCTTGATCACAGAGCCATCAAACGTTCTGTTGCAAATAGTCAACAGGGTTGCAAGAAACAGGTTGAGAGAAAAAAAAGATGCAAATTAACTGCCAAAGATTTGAGAAGAATCAAACATGAAGCTACCAGGAACCCATTATTTATTTATTTCAGGTACTTACAGTGGGGCAAAAAAGTATTTAGTCAGCCACCAATTGTGCAAGTTCTCCCACTTAAAAAGATGAGAGAGGCCTCTAATTGGCATCATAGGTAGACCTCAACTATGAGAGACAAAATGAGAAAAAAAAATCCAGACAATCACATTGGCTGATTTGGAAAGAATTTATTTGCAAATTATGGTGGAAAATAAGTATTTGGTCAATATCAAAAGTTCATCTCAATACTTTGTTATATATCATTTGTTGGCAATGACAGAGGTCAAACATTTCCTGTAAGTCTTCACAAGGTTGGCACACACTGTTGCTGGTATGTTGGCCCATTCCTCCATGCAGATCTCCTCTAGAGCAGTGATGTTTTGGGGCTGTCGCTGGGCAACACAGACTTTCAACTCCCTCCAAAGATTTTCTATGGGGTTGAGATCTGGAGACTGGCTAGGCCACTCCAGGACCTTGAAATGCTTCTTACGAAGCCACTCCTTCGTTGCCCGGGCGGTATGTTTGGGATCATTGTCATGTTGGAAGACCCAGCCACGTTTCATCTTCAATGCCCTTGCTGATGGAAGGAGGTTTGCACTCAAAATCTCACGATACATGGCCCCATTCATTCTGTCCTGTACATGGATCAGTTGTCCTGGTCCCTTTGCAGAGAAACAGCCCCAAAGCATGATGTTGCCACCCCCATGCTTCACAGTAGGTATGGTGTTCTTTGGATGCAACTCAGCATTGTCTCTCCTCCAAACACGACGAGTGTGTTTCACCAAACAGTTCTAATTTGGGTTTCATCTGACCATATGACATTCAACCAATCCTCTTCAGGATCATCCAAATGCTCTCTAGCAAACTTCAGATGGGCCCGGACATGTACTGGCTTAAGCAGGGGGACACGTCTGGCACTGCAGGATCTGAGTCCCTGGCGGCGTATTGTGTTACTGATGGTAGCCTTTGTTACGTTGGTTCCAGCTTTCTGCAGGTCATTCACTAGGTCCCCCCGTGTGGTCCTGGGATTTTTGCTCACCGTTCTTGTGATCATTTTGACCACACGGGGTGAGATCTTGCATGGAGCCCCAGATCAAGGGAGATTA